GAGTCTTCAGTCCATTGCATACTCTAACACCTGTGGGGTTTGTTTGTTTGTTTTGTTTTGGTTTTTCTCACAAAAAGAATAATTCTTCATAAAATTTAAGATATTTTTATCTTCAGACACTGCATGCATGTTCCTGTCTATGCAGCCTGAGAAACTGTTTCCTCCACATGGGGCTGAAGAGGTTCTTACATAAAAGTCTCTGCTGATCTTGTTCAAATAATAGTTCCTCCTATATTTTTTCTCTGATTCACCATTTGGTACTATATATTATGCAGTAAAAAGTAAACAACTGTTATGTTATCTGAACTTGAAGGCGGCAGAGGATGGTATCAGAAGGAGACCTTATCAGCTTGGAAGAAAGAAAACATTATCTGTAGGGGGAAACTGAATTTTTTTTCCCCAACTGATTTTCATATCTTACCATATACCAGATAAAAAATAAAAAATTAATTTTTAAAAAAGCAACTTCTGCTTACTGATAAACAAAATATGCAGGCGGAGAGGAAGGATCCCACAGTCAACCAGACAGGGCTCTGAGCTGTCTACCTCAAGGACATGCACGCAGACAAGTGAATGCCTAGTGGACATGACCAGGTGGCCCGCCTAGCAGATGAGGGAAACGCTGTGGATGTAATCTAGCTGGGCTTCAGTAAAGTCTTTGATACTGTCTCCTATAGCATTCTATGGAAAAGCTGTAAGTGCACAGCTTGGACAAGTGTACTCTTTGCTGGGTTAAAAACTGGCTGGATGGGCAGGCCCAGAGCATGGTGGTGAATGGTACCACATCCAGCTGGCAACCCATCATTAGTGGTGTTCCCAGGGCTCTGCGCTGGGGCCAGTCCTACTTTATATCTTTATTGATAATTTGGATGAGGGGATCGACAGCATCCTCCAGAAGTTCATGGACCATACTAATTTGGGTGGGAGTGTTGTTCTGCTAGAGGGCAGGACGGCTCTACAGGAGGATCTGGACAGGCTGGATTGATGAGCCAAGGCCAATGGTATGAGGTCTGGTATGAGGTCCAATAAAGCCAAGTGCTGGGTTCTGCAGCCCAAACAGCACTACGGGTTGGGGGCAGAATGGCTGGAAAGTGGCCCCGCAGAAAAGGACCTGAGGGTGCTGGTTGGCAGCAGCTGAACATGACCCAGTAGCATGCCCAGATGTCCAAAAAGGCCGTTGGAACTGTGGTTTCTGTCAAAAAGAGTGTGGCCAGCAGGACCAGAAAATTGATTGTTCCTCTGCACTCAGCACTGCTGAGGCCACAACTCAAGTCTGGAGCAAGGAAGATTTCCCATGATGGAGAAGGATCATCTTAGGGAATATTTAAACAAACTGGACAAAAACAAGTCCAACAAAAACAAGATCTGAGGGGATGCACCCATGAGTGTTGAGGGAGATGGAGGATGTCACTGTGATCCTGTTCTTGATTATCTTTGAAAGATCATAGTGATGGGGGAAGGTTCCTGAGGACTGGAAGAAAGCAAGAGTCACTCCTACCTCCAAGAAGGGTTAGTAGGAGCATTGAAGAAATTATGGTCTGATCAGTACCCTCATTTCACATGACAGAGCAGGGAACTATTCCTCCTCACATGCATGTACTTTGATGAACTTCATGAGGTTTTTGTTTGTTCATTTCTCCACTCTGTAGAGGTCCCCATCTGGTGCCTCAACTCCTCTCATCAGTGCTGCAGTTACTGTTGGTCCAAGTCTAGCTCTAGTAAGTACACTGCCTCATCACAAACCTTTCTGTGTTGCTGGTTCCCCAACCCCATGCTCAGAAAGGGAAATGCTCCCTGAAAGAGATCTTAAAAGACTAAGGGATGGATGTGCCACTGCAAGAGATCCTGCCTTGACAAAGAGCTACTTAGGGACAGAACAGTGGGACAGATATTATGGAGCCCTCTCACCAGCCTCCTGACTTGACATGCAGCTTCACTGCAGAACAGACAGGCTCAAGCCTGAGCTCAAACACAGCTCTGATTTTAACCCAAAAGTCTGACTGTGCAAACAACTTCAACTTCTAAACCCAAGTACACATACTCTTGTTAGTCCTTCAGAGATTCAGAGGCACTGTAGAAAACTGTACGAAGAAGTGGACTGCAACACAAACAAATGTGAGTGGTAAGGACGAAACACAAAGCATTGCCCTCAGACACATTTTGCTTGGCAGTCTGCAGTGTATTCTTTTGACAATACTGTACACAGAAACACAAGGTTTCTTCTTGTTTCCTTGCATCTTCCTCAGCAGTGGTTAACATGTTACAGCTAATCAGGCTGTACATTGGTGCCAGGATTTACCCTGAAGTTGCAAAGGTAGTTAAAAACAGATATTGAAAAGCAGAGCACATGCTATTTCTGGTTGACTGCTGGTGTTAGATGACCACAGCTGTTAAAGGAACATGCATATCTATATACATAAATAAAAAATGTGTTCGAGGAAAAACAGCAAATGTTTTACGATCAAAGAGAACAAAAGTTAGTGAAGATGATAAATGCAGTGAAAGGTTTCTGGAAGCAGATACTACCTTAGTGTTTCATCCATGTTGTGTTTCACTAAACTTTGCTTAGGCTTTAGAAAGAGCTAAGAACCACACAGAAACCATAGTGGTCTTCAAGACATGAGAGGTTCCAGATATGCACAGACAGCCAGGGTTTCCCCAGTAGATCACTGGGACAGCAGCTTTTTCCTTTCCCCATCCCCTCTCTGTTTCACTCACCTCTCAACAAGATATTTCCTGCTATTTGCCCCTTTGCACTCCTGCTCCTCTCAAATTGTAACATCATTCATCTTCTGTGGAGACACTTCTCCCTCACTTAAATTTCTGGCAGCCAATTTTACTCACTGTTGTTGAACCAACTTATTAAAGGGGACTACAAGACTTAAGCTAGATGAGTATCTTATCCTGTATAAAAATTTTTAAATTCAGAATTGAAAATAAACAGATCCATTAGGATCAGCCCAGTTCAGATCTTTTTACTGAAGTAATGAAAGGACAAATCAAATACACAGTGCCTCTGCATTTGTGTCCCATATTATAGACTTCAAAAGGAAATCGATTTCTGTTCTGAAACATTCTTCCATTTATTGGAAGTTCAAGGAACTTTATATAGAATGGGACATCACCAGCTTCATTAGAATCCATTTAAATGGGAATGTCCATTATTTGTCCCCAAATCAACCTTTTACAACTTTATTTAGATACATCCTTAGCATATTAAGACAATGAAGTATTCCTAAATAATTAGATGTTCTTAACTTAACTGCAGAGAGACAGAGCAGGTGAGGAATTCAAGAAGGGCAAGGCAGTGGCATGCAGGAAAAGCCCAAGATTGGATAAACAAAGTATAGCACCTGATCCACCTCTTGAAACTGAGACAAATGTCTTTTTTATCACAATACACTCTTCCTCAGGAAAGGGCAATGGCATCAATAGAGCTGATTTTGTCACAGAGAAAGTGTGCAGAATTAGGTCTCCTATCAACAACTCACAGCCCTGCCAATGGAGCCTCAAGTTGTGTTTTAAAAATGCAAGTGCCCCCCCTTCTGGCCAATAAAGACTCCCCAAAGTGACTTTGCAAGATATTTCAGGCTAATTTTAAAATGTAGTTTAGTTTATGAAAGTTAATTATACTTGTTCTAAGACATAAAATCTCAGTCAAACACAGAACTTCCATTAAATTTCAAAATATTTCCACACTTATTTAAAAAATTGAAGGTTTTCCTTTGCTTATGCAATGCCATATTCTGAGCTTAATATATCTATCCATCAATTTCTCAAGATAGTGAGAAATTTGTAACAACTCAGTGTTATTTTGTGTCACAGGACCAGGCTTCCCATAAGTGTTCAGACCTGCAAGGGCTTACTTTGTGAGCAGCGGTGCCAGCTCAGGTAGCTGAAGTGATACAGTGACATCTGTGCCATGATCAGCCAAGGCAGGGTTAGGATGCTGTTAGGATGCTTTAGGTGGACTAAAGCCTTCACCTGACTAACTGTCAGGTTGGTGGTTCATCTAGGTGATCAGTTCACAGATAGCAGGGATGTAAATGATGCCAGGGCCTCAATGTATAGCTTGGAAGGAAGGCTACTGAAGGAAGAGTAATTGCTGGAATACAAATATTTTAATGACGTCTTTTTAAGTGACTTTCTAAATTAAATCTCATGAACAATCCAGATACTCATTTGTATGCCATCTGGATAACAGCATTCAGCAAGAGGACAAGAAGCCAAAAAATGACAAGCAAGCTCCCTGCTTCTGCATGAGTCAGGTCCTTTCAATCTGCAAGGACACATAATTGAGGAAAGTAAACTGTGGGTTTTCTCCTCTTTTTCTGGTTAGAAATTTTTTTTTAAGTTTAATTCCTGTATCCTTTTCCTAATGTTGAAATGATAAATTACAATATATAAATTTTTTTTTTTTTCCCTAAGTAGTTACTCCTAACTGATACAGTAATAAAGAGAAGATGGAAAACAGTTCTATCAAGCAGTGTTACAGTTTGGTGCAGCCTCAATGAAAATTCATGGCAGAAATAACCTAAGCAACACCGAAATACAATGCTTAGATGTGTTGTTCAGGTATTTTGTATCAATAGTTTTCTGCCTTTTGAAAAGGAATACTAGCAATTAGGAGAAACATTTTTTTCATTTTTTTTTTTGGGGGGGTTTTTTGTTTGTTTGTTTGTTTAAAAAAAAAGCATAATTCTGTGCTACAAAATTTGGTGCCAGTGAACAAGTTATCTCTGGGCTTTGTTCTCGGCATCAACATACTGAGAAGTAGATGAAATAAATTGCTTAAATGGCAAATCTTAGGTCTAAATCAAAATTATGGCTACTTTTGTTAATTCAGCATATCTGCAGAGCCAGCCAGGAGTCTGACGCATGCTCCTTAGCACACCTGCATTGTTAATATTAGCATAGTTCTATGGATTTCTGCCTTCTAATTGCTATACCTCTTCTACATGAAAAATTAAGTAACAAAAAGTATGAATGTTTCTAAATACCTGATTAATTATCTGTTGTTGCAGCTTTTTTCCAGAGTCTGAAAGAGAAAGAAAAGAATTAGTTTGTACATATTTTAATGAAGGTGGTAGTGGACATGCCACAATCAACATACATGCCGCAGAACAATAAACAGTGAAATAATAAAAAAAATAATCAAACCTCATAATTAAGAAACAGAATTGAACATGTAGAAATTGCTTGAAACTTCAAAATAGAAATCTACCTAAAATAAAAGAAACACAAGCCCTTCTAATCAAGACGTGATAAAAAGACAATAGATAGAGGGTAGCCAATCTTGCTAAGCTGGAACCCCAAAGAAATCACAACATTTAAAGGGCAGGCAACAAATTTCAAATATGTGCTTTGAAGCATCTTAATGTTGTGAGATGTACTATGTGCTGGAGAAACTGGTAACATTCAACTCAAGATTTGACCACTGGAAGAGGAAAGCAACTTCTGCCATTACCTTAAAATAAAACTGCATGTCTGTGCCAAGACTGATATTTGGCACCAGGTGGCTCAAGTGAGAAATTCTATCCTGATAATATCCACAAAGCGGCAAGCTGAGTTACGGTCTTGTTTCCTTGTTCTGGCCTTCTTCTGCAGCACCCTTCAGTGTGTACCTGGAGATATAATCAGAGCCTAGACAACACACTGCTTTCTACAGCTGTTTGGGACCCTAGCAGCAAGGATACCTCAAACCTATTCTTTCCCTTTTGACCAATTTTGCATCATTTACTGTTCCCGTGCACTAGTTGTCAAAAGGGCAGCTGGTATCAATTACCCTCCCTTTGCTACTGGAGACCATCCACACGTATTGGCGAAAGTCAGGAATTTCACACTTGCCTATCCAGCTAGGCTACGTGCACCCGGAGGGTTTTTAAAAATAATAGTGATAGGAGACACGACTTACAACCTGTCAGTATCACTACTAACTGTCAGGGGAGACTGCCTAGCATGGGTGGTTGCCACCTCCCGCACTGGAAATGATACTCCCTTTCAACAAAACTTTTCCGTACTAATATGTGTGGCACAAACAGAATTTTTAAAATGAGGTGTAATTATTTAAAGTGTTAAAATACAGCATAAAGACTCTGTTTAAAGGAAAATGGTCTTCCCTACTCATCCCCGAGACTATTCCTCTTTTCAATGAAAGCATTATAGATAATTCAGATAAAGATAATTACTTTAGGCTATATTATAAGATTGTCTCTTATGATAATTACTTCCTGCATGCTTGCGTTGTGTTTTTATTTGCTAAATATAAAAATTACCCTTTTTTTAGCTAAAAGCCCTCTACACAACTATCATTTAGGGAAGACTTCTTAAAACGTATTCCCTTGGTCACCGAGTTCATCTTTGGGAGAAATAAGATTTATTCTTGTAACTAATATTTTAACCAAATAGATTGTTGGTAATAGAAGATTAAAGGAGTATGTGTTTTTAGCATTCTCTAATGATATACAAGTTGCTAGGAAAGCAGAGTGTTTGAAATCTGTGGTTAGATCAACACTATTTTGCTCAAAGGTTTGTGGACTTTGAATACTGATGCTTTCCTGTTTCCCAGTACATTTGTTTTTAGGCTATTTTGATTCACTTTAAAGGAATTTTAATAACTTTCTGTTGACAGCATGGACAGCTGGTCTTGAGAATTAGTGAAAATTCACTTGCTGACTGAGGAAGGAAGTGACATCAATGAGTTTCTAAAGTCAGCCCCGAGGGAAAAGTGTGCTCTGCCAGAGTAGCCTTTCATGCCATTGTGTTTCCAGTGATGCCTTGAGATGCAAATTGCATTATCAATCAAACTTGTGGTTTCTACCTCAGACAAATATAAAAAAAGAACAGAAAGACTGTGAAAGACCTTTGCAGCCATTCCTGACACTGCTAAGAAAAAGGTGAAGAGGAATTTATGGTAGTTCTTTCCTTGTTCTCTCTTTGTTTGGTGATTTAAATGCAAGTATCAAGGAAAGGGCAGTTGCAAACGTGTCTGTGTGATACGACAGCAATGGTGACATGGGTTAAACAGGACAGAGATTGACTAGGCTGTTAAGGGTAGCAGAGAGATCAGATTCAAGGTCACTGGCAAATTGAATACTGTGTTCTCCATTTATTCGCTAGATGATCCTTGTCCTCATCACAGAACAACTATGTGAATTTGGCATAGTCAGCACTTGTGCTCAGAAGGGACCAAGGTCTGTAATAACAGACATGCTGCAAATCAGGGTGGAAATACATTGGCACACTTATATGGGGAAGCCTGCAAAATCCTGGCCTGTACTGTACTATTGTTTTGGAGAAACATCACAAACAGTGACAAAACATGTGCAATACCTACAGCGCTGAAGGGGAATCAGTTTCCAGCAGCCAGTGACTAACAGTAGAAAGCCATAGAAACTAGGCAGAATTTTGCTTGTCCTGTTTTGTTTTGGTCTTTGTTTGCTTGTTTTTGTTTTGCTTGGGGTTTGTTTGTTTGTTTTTAAATCCCCAGAATTCTCTTACAATGACTTTGGCCCTCTCAGTTTTGAGAAGGATGTTTCTGTCTAGGTGCCTTGTGATAGTCACCTGTGGTGACTATCAACATTCACCAGAGGGATTCAAGAAACTCCACTGAAGAAAGTGCTCCAAATTCAAAGGACATGAGGCAGTGGGACACTGATGAAACGAGAATTGTCAGAACATGTCAGCCAATCCTACAGGTAACACCTGCGTCAGTCTCATGAAATGCAGGTAATACTTCACACTTGCAAGAAGTTTCATTTCTGGCAGATGTACATACCCTAAATTTAAAATTTATGACAGTTTTCCTGAGCCACTGCAATGAGGTAGAAGCTTATGCAAGAACATCAAACTAACCAGGAAATTTACTGCCATCTGAAAATTTACTTGGAAGCTGCCCAATAGGTAACTGGTGTAGTCAAAAGCATACCTTCCACAACTCAGATTGCTTGTGAATGGCTTGCTCTTCTCCTTCATTTCCTCTGTAACTCATTTTTCTACCTGTGCTGTGGCAAACTGTTCCTAAATGGGCTCAATAGTACCACCTGACCAGCCTTAAAAACACAAGCAAATCAAAAGGCCTTAATCATAGACAACTACATTTACTTGATACTTTGTGAGTCAAAAGCTGGATTTACCAGTATAAACTACAATTCTTATTTGCTGAGGCTGTCCTTCCATGCCACTCTAACTGAGGCTAAACTGGATTCCAATGATATTTTTGCATCATGGAGAAACATACCTCTCTCAATTAATTTTTACTGATTTTTTTTTTTTTTGTCTCTCTGCTTGCAAAAACTGTAATGGATGGTTGACAGGTTGAGATAAATGGCCTTCTTGGGTTGACCTCAAGCTATATCACTTTAAAAAAAAAATATTACAACAAATATTGTTTAAAAAATTTCTCCGTATTTTCATTCACTAATTAGTATACTAATTCCTGTTTCCAGGGCAAGTTGGGTTTTTCAATTTTTTTTTTTCTGTTGCTTGTCCTTATTATAAGATCATCTTACTGAGAGCAATAATGTATGTTTTCTAATGTAACTGACAACTGCAAGAAATGAGAGTGTGCCTTAATTGCTGCTGTCACCAGGGATGGCAACACTGACTCCTCAGCCTTATGCACACAACCTACACAGGGAACAACACGTAATTATGCACACTATGCCCTGCTTACCTCCATACAAAGGAATGTGATATTTGTGCAGGTTTACAGATTAATCTGCTGTAATTCCCTTTAATGTTAAACTACTTCCAGCTCAAATATAATTAAGATCACCAGGTACAAAAGATTCAGATTGGAAATATGAGTACACTCTAACAGAACAAATAACAGCTTGATGCTGTTTCTTATGTTCAATAGCTGGATACATTAAGGATTTTGACAGCATGTTTGTTCCCTAAGTATTTAAATGAAAAAACAAAGGTTTCATTTCAAAAGGTAAAACACTACTACTGTATTTAATTAGAGAGCAAAATCCCTTAAATATACAGATCTGCCAATTTATGTCATGTGACTGCTACAAGACCTAGCAACAAAGGATTTGAATTTTTTTCCTTCCAAAAATCAAATCCCAACTTATACTTCAAGTAATGTCAATAAAATAAAGGCTTTAGAGTAAAAACTTTACTTCCTCTAAGTCTTCAGATAATTCTACTACTATTTGTGGCATGGCAGCCAGGCAGGGGATGAACAGAAATTTTGGGTCTGTCTCCCTGTTTTCAAGTATCTGAGCGTCTCCAAGCAGGCTGAGAAAATTGTGGAGATCTCAGGGGGCAAAGGGGGCCCTCAGCCTTACTCTGAAACAGTCACATGCATAGTCTGACACAGACATCACTTAACTTCAAGTGGGAATGGTACTACTAAGAAATCAGTTGTGAAGAGGGAATTCTATGTTCTAATACCAATTTAATTTTGATTTTCCAGTTTGTGAGAGAAACACACACTGCCAGGTTTGTATTTTACTTTATGTTTATAGACTTAAATAAACACATATGCAGCCTATTCAGTTATGATCCACCCCACTTTCATTACTGGTGTCCTAATCTCCCATAGCAGATTTTGAGAAGTAAAAGGAAACCAAAGCACTCATTTGTGATAAAATTCTGCAGCAATTTCCCATGGCACTAGAGCCTGAGGAACAAACACTCAGATTTGTTTTTCAGACTTACAACAGATACGGTGTGACACTAACAGATTATCTTCTGTGAAAGCCTGAAACTTGGCATACAAAGATTAAAATATTTAGGACAGAACCATACATTTCCTATAAATTATTGGCAGAATCTCAGAGGTCTTTAAGCAACAGAGCTCTTGTAGATCTTCACAGCATTTACTTCTTCTTCTAACAAGGAATTCAGTGAACTGAAAGTGCTCATTTATAGCAATGCCTTCAAAACCTAGTTTAGCTTACTTTTGTACCTCTGTGATAATTATGCAACTGAATATGCTTACAGTGGCCTAAAATATATTAATCACATCTTCTTGGTATTGCATAATCCTTCTCAGTTGTCACAATGCCAACTCATAAGTTGCCCTGG